AAGAAGATCTCAGAAGATAAGTAAATGCCTTTTTGCGGAAAGTATATATTGGGAAACGGTTTTTGGTAGAAATGAGACATCCTAATGGGTCTTTTATAAAATCAGGGCGCATTTAAAAGACAGGCATATAAAAGGAAAGCCCCTGAAGAGGTTTTATAAACAGTATATGGGAATTATGATATTCTATAGATGAAAACCCTCTTGAAAATACTTCGTAGTTTCAAAAATTTTCTATTACTCCAGACGCCCTGTTCCAAACACTTCTATTTCCAAATAAATGTTAGAACATGTCTGAACATGTCTGTCAATGTCCAAATAGAAAAAAAATGTTCCAACATGACTACAATGGAAAACTGCAATAGAAATTCAAATGAAAACAATATAAATGTTTTTAAAAAGGGGGAAAATAGCTCTGTGCCACACGACAACAGGCATACACCATCTCTTGGCATTGTAATCAATGCCTGTGGACTTCTAATGTTGTCGTGCATATAAAATGAATTTAAATCAAAGGAACGCTACAAGACAACCGGGAAGTTCTCTTTAACGAAAAACAAAAAGAAAATGAAAGAAAGCCAACAACATCGGCAGTCATGTTATGATTAGTGTGGAAGAAAATTATATTGGCATCTGGGGAATAAGGAAATCGTAGAATTTGTAGCGAAACTAACAACAAACAAATGCCCATAAAGAAAAGTCCGCAAAAGCATGTAAACACCAAATACAAAGCATAACAGAACAGAACATGGTGATGAAGATGATGATGCTGATGTTGGAAGAAAGTAAATTACATGAGCAATTTTACTGTTTTAAGCTAATGTAATTTATCGAATAACCAAATAAATCGTTGTATATCAAATGTTTAAGGTTTGACAAAGAAATGGCGCAATACACACTATCTATGATCTTTAAAAGTAATTTGCTGTTTGTGTCTTAAGTCTTTTGTGGTTTTTGCAAATGGAACAAATTAGCAATGAGTCTTTATATGGTATAGAACATGATGCATGTCTAACATTTTGAATACCATCCACACCGCATACCGGTGCAATCATTAAAATTTCATTTAAAGAATTGAAAAAATAAAACAGGTTGTTGTTCTTATTGCGTTTCATTTTAATCTGAGCTGAATTATCGAGAATGTCAAGATTTGTTTGTATAAGGTATTAAATTATTTAACAAATATTAATAATAATTAATTAAAAGCAAGCTGTGGGAATTTCCGCAAAGTTTATCCGGAAAAAAATTAAAAAAAAATCTCAAGCTTAGTAAAAGGGATTTTTTAAGGTCAATTCTTAAGGAGGTACAAATTAGATGTAAAAATCATAATTCCTTTTAGAAGATCTATCTGGACCTTGACTAGTTTTTATTCTTTGTATACTTTAATTTTTATTTTGCCCTAAAACTTTTAGAATTAAAAAAATCACATTTTTTCCACCATAACAATAGTGAAATACTTTCAATCTAAAAGGAGTTCAAGGATTTATTTCCCTACCAAAAGATTGAAAACATATTGAACATATTGAAAACATATTCCCTTAGCTCCTATTCCCTTGAAAGCCATTTTTTGGTCTGGATAAAATATTTTTTTAAATATATTTCTATTACTTATAACAGTTATATCCAGGTTTTCCTATTTTTTTCTTCTCCTTTGTCATTTGATTTCTTGCAGGTTTTTTTTTATTCTTTACTTTATTATGTCATTACATTTAAGTATTACATAACATTACAATACAATACCATTTAATGTTAAATCACTGTTGTTCCCCTAACATCACGAACAACAAAAATAAAATCAATGAATAACAATGAGGTAAATTTGTTTTGCCAACGGAGACAAAATAAAAGGGAGAATTTTGAAATTGATGAATAAATTTAGAAAGATGTTTCTATTGACAATATAAGATGGGTAAGGTGCGGTAAGTTTATAGGGAGATATATAAGGGATCTATTATTCTGAACTATTCCGATTTCATACCTTGGGTAATGTCTACAAATTTTAATTATGAGACTAAAAAATTTACTTCTTAAAAATCTGGCATTTCTGATCTGGTGAAAGAATTTCTGGTATTCCAGATATCAGTGATGATTAGGCACCAAATTTCGCACCCTGGACCCCAAAATTAAATTTTTTGTTAACTAAACTGGCAATGCGTCTACAATAAAATCTACTGCTTTAGGTCCTGAAACAATCTTATATTTTAAAGTTGTGGAAGAAAAAGGGTACTTCCTTTATTACATAGGTTTTCTACCACAGATTTTCTTTAGATAGAAACATCTGACGGAGTTTTATGTTTAAAAGGAGCCACAAGGCCTCTGAAGTACACATATATATGACCATTGATGAAAACGCAGTAGGGTTTATTATAGAAAAAAATCATTGATACCTTTTATATAGAACGACTCTAAAGAGTCCGGCTACAGAGAAAAGGAAGAAGTTTTATTAAAAAAAGTAATATAAGAGATAGTCCATGAACAGATTTCTTCTATACCCAGAATGGTTCTAAAAGTTTATCGAAACAAAGAAGCGCTCTGAGGGATTATTTAACAGGCAGAAGACTTTGCAATAGATCCTCCATAGAAAGAATATCACCAGTTTCAGTTTCAGGCAGCAATGGGGTTCCAATATATATAAAGTGCCCTGAAGAGGTCTTCTAAAGGAAAATGTTTTTTGAATAGATTTTCGTCTAAAAAATATAGAAAAGAAATTTATCAAAAAATAAAGTCAGAAAATGTTTTCTTACCTAGAGTGTATCTAAGAAGTTATCGAAGAAAATCTCCAAATAATTATTGATGGAGATCTTCGACAATGATAGATATATAAAGAAGAGGTTCACTAAAGGAAAATGTTTTTTTCTTCTGAGAAAAGATGAACTCAGCCAGAAAATGGGGGAAAATTTTAAATAATTCTTGATGGAGATATTCCACAATGATAGTTATTAAGGAAAAACCCTCTTTATTAAAGATAAATTTGAAAATACAAAAAACGGCCTTGTAGTGTCTTCGATCTACATAAGTCTTTTGAATGGCTTCCTACGTGAAAATGTCTGTAGAAAACTTTACTAGTAGGTGACTTCTTGATACATTAAAATTTCTTTGAAGACCATTGTTCTATCCATTGAAGATTTTTTTACCCTTTTAATGGCAAGGTTTCTTGAACAAACTGATATCTGTAGACAATATTAAGAAAATATCTGTGGAATATTTATCTCTGACTGTAGAGGACTTCTTTGGCAATTAAAAGTCAGATCCTTTAAATATATCTGTTATAATCATAGAAGACTTAATAGAAAGTCTTATATTTAACAAAGTGATCGATTTGATATAAAATCTATCATTTGAAGATCAGGACGATATGAGAAGTTATCATGAAAGATATGATGAGCGACTAATAAAGGAACCTCCGTCAGCTGACATTCTATTGATTAAAATAAAGTATCACCTTCTATAGAGGAAGGTCGCCTATCAATGAAATACATTATAAGCTATCCAGTTTTTTATCCACAGAAGACCCCTGGACTAATACTTGTTGGGAGGTATAAAGGTTGATATCATACTGATATCTATTGAATTTAAAAAATCATTTATAGAAGACCTGGTGGAGGACCTCTACCAATGAAAATGTTTTTAAAGGCACTTATTGTAAGAAGTCCTTCTATCTTTGGATAAACTCTCGAAACATCTATTGTTCGGAATAAGGACATATTTCTATGATATAAAACCACCTCATTAATAAACTTTTCAGTTATTGGATCATCACGGAAAACCCTTTTTTCTATCGAAAAACTCTCAAATCCTTTTATATCCGTAATAAGGACTGATTCCTATTATATCTTTCTGTATAAGCTACCTCTTGAATGGCATCTAAATTCCTGGAGAAACATTTGTCAGTTATTGGACCCTTCTATCCACCGATAAACTCTATATCTAAGATCTCCTCTGCGAAATGGTGTCACCTTTCAGTGTCCCATTGCTGTTCTAACAAGATTTTCGTCATTGCTACTCATTTTTTGTTTGTTCTGCTACTAAGACCAAAGAAAATCAAATCTCGTTTTTTTTTTCTTTCTCCTCTAGTCTGCCTCTGACGATCATCTTAGAATAACGTAAAAGACGATGTTGTCGGTATATATCTCTGAACATGGCATAAGAATAACAACTGATACTATCATTGTCGATGACTTTATAGCTTGAATTATTTTACTTCTATGGATTGTTGTTGTCGTTTTTTGTTGTTGTTGTTGCTGTTGGTTACCTTTTTCATTTCATATTCTAGACAGATAGTTACAAAAGATGAACATGTTCCAGGCTAGATTATGGCCCAGTAGCTACAATAGGACCGGGGTAATGTGTGTGTGTGTGTAACACAAATCTGAAAATGTTATGATTATTGTTGTTTTGTGTATGTTCGTATATGAGAGAGTGTGTGTTTTAGCCCGTTGATGGCAGTTTGGTGAGAAATGTTAGATACCTAACTGACTGGTGCTGTGGTGTGGTATGGTGTTGTTGTTGTTGACTATCATTATGTGGTCTAAGGTCTTTTTCGTTATGTTGTATTGTGTGCTTGGGAGCTATACATTTCTCAAAAACCGTTAAGAAAACTATACAGTCAACCAACAGCAGCAGCAACAACAACAATAATGTGTTATGTGCTCTGCTGCTGCCGCTGCCGTACAATGAGTGTAAAACTTTATGCTTGAAATATGTTTATGGTATAACATTTCTTCCAGTTTCATGCTAATGCCATTGTAAGACAACAACAGCAACAAAATTGTTTATATATAAATGATAATTTTGTTGTTGCTGTTGTTATCATTTTCCTAAGGTATTGTTCTCTATGGGCTTTGCTTTATACGACTGCTGATCTTAGATGGGCGGAAGTTTTTGTTTGTTTTTTGTTTCTGTTAAGATCTTTTGAATATAAAATTGCATTATATTACAAATAAAATAAAAAATAATAATAAAAATAAAATACGAAAAAATAATAAAAAAACAATTCAACTTACCTTCACAACGATGACCATCACCACGATAACCTGGAAAACAGGTACACGTATAACTGCCGAGTGTATTCGTACAGTGGGCAAATACATCACAGGGACGTGATTTGCACTCGTTTTCATCTGTTGGATTTTTGTAAAGAAAAGAAAAGCAAAGAAAAAAGAAACAAAATAATAAGATGTAAAAAGAAGAGGTAAACAAAGTATCACAAAGAAAAACACATTTGACATTCCATCAAATGTAGATAATGATGATAGTGATTGTTAATGATCATTAACGACAATGATGTTAAATGTTTCTCTTGTTATTCTTTTTCTTTGTATTTGACATTTAACTTACCTTGATCGTTACAATTGCAACCACCCCAGCCATCGTTGCAATGGCAAACACCATTCAAACACACACCATTTATGCACTGAGTGCCATCTTTATCACAGTCATCTGAATTTGTTGTTGTAGTTGATGTTTTTGGTTTGGTGAAATTATTTTGAAAAGAAAGGAAATAATAAAACATTAAAATTGAATAATGACTCTTGACATAATGTGAGAACTTGTCGTTTCGTTTAGTTTCATTTCTCCTTATTTTTTGACTTACTTGTGCATTTGAGCTCTTTGCTTAGCTCATCGGATCCCATATAACAATCCTGGGAACCGTCGCATAATTTCGATAGTTCGTATAATTGTAAATAGTCGCTGGACGCATTTACTTGGCAGCCAAAATAGCCATCTTCCAAATTTATAAAAAATACTTCGTTACGAAATCGACTATTTTTTAAATTTGTTTTAAATGGCGATAATTGTGTTTGTGTAAAATATTGTGTTTGTTGTTGTTGTGAATGTACCTGTGGAGAAGAAAGAAGAAAAAAATGAATATAAAATTAGTTATTTTTTTAAAAGAAGCAATAAAATTTAAATTAAAATAGAGTGGATAGATTTAAACTAAGATAAAACGCAAGACTTAAGACACAAACTTTCTATCTTCAAATTTCTGATACTTTTGGTATTTTCGATTTCAATTTATTATGATTTTCAACCGGCTCGCAAATGGAAGACTTGTAACTTTGTATATAAGCACTTGAAGAATTAAAGGATATGAAAATAAATTGTCATAATGATGTTGTTGTTTTTGTAACTACAATGAATCGGATATATTTTCAAGAGTTGTTGAGATTTCCATGTGAAATTTTAAAGGGGCATTCTTCAATTAGTATGGGTTCGTATTTACTAGAAAACCATTTTTTTTTTGAAACCTTAAGTCGAAAATATGGTTGTAATTCGGTGATCTCTGTTTAAGAAAAAATGTATCGAAGTGCCCTGACCCATAAAAGGAAAACCTGCCAAGGTATTACTTCCGGATGTTTTGAAATGATACTTTGAAATCTTAAAATGGGTAGCAAACCTTTTTTCAGTAATGAGACCATTATAGTAATGTTTTTTCTAGAAAGCTTATATGTTTATTATGAAAATGTTTCCTATTGAGAATCTTGCTGCTTCCAAACATTTTGCCAAAAATTGTGTATATTGGAAGGCGAAGGTCCATCCTTATTATTACAATGTTCTCTAGACTGTTTAAACATGCCTTATGATATGTTCCTTATCGGACAAAGTTTTCTTATCGAGAAAGGTATGAACATTTTCACATGTCAGGCATATCCTTAAAGGATAAGAGGAGGTAATAAAGGTGAAATGTGTTCCTTCAATTGTTTGTTGAATATAGTGTAAAATAATAACTCTTAGAATTTTTGCAATATCAATTTTTTTCTTTCCATTTTGTTGTAAAAAAGTCTATTTTGTTTAATATTAATTTATAGTAAATATTTTCTTATTAATATCTTAAAGCACCCACAATATTGCATGCTAAAATGCTGCACACCATTGAATGATGCAGAGAGCGAAAAAGCAAATTTCCACAGCTGATGGAAAATAATTAAAACGATTTAATGAAAAGAAAAAAAAAAATACGACTATGAAAAAAATTTCACATATTTATTACAAATAAGCAATTTGTTATTAAGATTTTCTGTGAAAAGAAACTAAAAGTAATGACGTATGGAAACATTCAATGAAATGAAGAAAAATTTAGGAAAATTCTTTAAAAACGATAAACCATGAAAATATGGAATATTTTCCAAGTAACTACTACGTTAACGTAAAGTTTGCGTCTTTAGTCTTTTAATATTTTGTATATAAATAATTATTTTATTAAGTTCTGTAAAAACGATAAGCCATGGATATATGGAATATTTTCCATGTAACTACCATATAAACTACTTGAAGTTTGTTTCTTAAGTCTTTCGATATTTTGTGGAAAAATAATTATTTTACATTTTGTTTTGGTAAGATTAAATTTTATAATTTTTTTTTTAAATTTTTTATAAATTTTGATGGATTAAAAATTTTAACTATTCAGTAAATAATTTTTTACGTTTCTTCCATTAAATATTTAATTGAAATTATGACCTATTGTTTATTTATTATATTTTATTGTTAAAATTTTTTATTTCTCTTTGTTTATATTTTAACTACGGCCTAGTATAATAAGCTTTTATTTTATTGCTCAGCAAATTTTCTTTCCTTCATTTCAGAAAAAATTGTAATTCCAATAAAGCCCTGACCTTGTCAATGAATTTTGTGTTTACATGGACGGTAGTTAAAAACGATCTGCGGTTATGAACACGGTTACGAACACAATCATTTTATATTTAATAATTATTTTTGGACAAAAAATACACTTAATTGTATATTAATTAAGATAAGAAGGTCTAAGATTTTTAAGATTTATTTCAGCTAAAATAAGGAAGTGTGGAGCTTTATTAAAGAGACAAGCGGAAGGCTAATATAATTCCGATTGAAGCATTAATATTTTTTTGGTTATAATGTTGATTTGAGGAAGACCGAAAATCTCTTTTGAATGAAGTTGTTAAGTTTTCATGTCGTATGCAATGGATCTTTTCTATAAGGCAATGGAAGGATGTCTATGAATATATTGTATTTACAACTAGTAAGAACCACCTTTAGTTCAATCAGTCGGGTTTTTTTACCCTCAACCATGAGGTAGGCACTTAAAGTACTTAACATCCATCAGGACTTTTAAATGGAGACTATGTTACTACTAGGAAGACTAAAATGAGAACCTATAATATCAAATTAGTTTCAATTCAATTAGAGGCCCCATATATCGGTAGTGAATAATTGGTGTACCGATTAATGGTGCTTTAGCCTAACACTTTTTAAACTTCCAAAAAAAAATTAAGCATATTTTTAATCATTTCAAATTTCATATAATTTCTTTAAAAACAATGGCAATTGTGATTTTTTTTTTGAAAAAGTCCCATGACATTGTCAGTCTATACCCTTTGTCCGCCCATCCGTCCCACCATTCATGCATTCAGACGTCTGCCATCAGCATTATCAAACAATCGACCGCTAACTTTAGAAACGTTATAACGTTCATTTATCATAGCTATTGTTTTTGTTGCTGTTTGGTGTTGTATTTTTTCAAGACCAACTGCAATTAGATTTTAACTGCAACTTGCATTCGCTGTTGTTGTTGTTGCTGCTGCGTTTTATCATGGGCTCTACCGTAAAAGGTTCCCCATCAAGCGACAATGCGATTTACCATGAAGTTTGCCAGCCAGGTGACTATGATTATTATTTTTATTGTGATTTACCATGATCACCATTACATGGTGATCATCTTCATCTTCTACCGGAATATAATGACAATAAATATTTTTTTTGATGTGGTTTTTATTATTGTTTGCTATTATTTGTTGTTGTTGTTTTTACTGCACTAGAGTGCATCCGTTATAACTGTCATTTTTGTTATGTTGTTGTTTTTTTATTTATTCTTTACGAACAACAAAAAACCAAAGCTACAGTAAGGTGATAGCTGGAATAATTATGCAAGTGTAACAGCTAAGAGGTAAACAAGTGTTAGGTGTGTGTGTAAAGAATGAAAATAAAGAAGTAGAAGAAAACGCACATAGCTGTTCTACAAGAGTGCCTTGCATTAAACCCAGATATCTCATAATTCGTGTTGTAACATATATGCTGGGCGGCATGTATTATGTATGAAGTTGTAACAGGTTGAGGGTTTGGATAGATGCCAGAAGTCTATGGGGGTCCCAGATCAGGGCCTCAATTTTTTGTTTTGTTAAAAATTGAGTATTATTTCTGTTTTCTCTTCTTCCCCACCAACAGCCTCCACAATAATCACGATAGTGTCCTAAGTCTTTTGATTAGTTTCAACAACTTAAAAAAAAAAAAATTGTTACATGCCCACAAGATACAAAATTGTTGTTTTTTGCCAATAATGAAGAGAAATTGTTTCCAAAAAATTTTTTTTTTAAAAATTGAAGTTCCCCAACTTTTGCTACAAATATCATGTTTGTGGCTTAAGTCTTTCATATGTATTTTTCCCACTTCTTTCATACACCTCATTAAAATTCCGCAAGCTTATAGGCAATTAAATTCTGTAAACAAAATCATACATAGCTCCGAACCGACCAAAAAAAATTACTTATTTTAGGTACGTTGCGTTATAAATTTAATTACCACTTGCCATGCACAGATGTATGGATGAATGGCAAGCTGGCTGACTGACAGTCTGCCTTCTAGCCTACGCTAGGTGGACGAATATGGTTGAATGTCAAGGAACAGAATATTTCAGCACATCATTAAAACGACACTGATAAAAATCAATTTTGATTGCCAACACCAACAACGGCGAACTTGCTCCCTTACACAATTCGCAGAATAGCAGAGCAGGGGAGAGAGGGACCGGTAACATGATAATGATGACGTTCAGCGTTGTGAAAAACTTTAATTTTAATGATGATCGTTGAAAATTAATGATGTAGAAAAATAAACTAACGGGATGTTATTTTGCAATATTTTAATTTCTTTACATTTTTTTCCAAACCATTAACATGGTGATGATCAACATCATCGCCACAGAAGTTGATGAATAATAAAATAACGGCCACTATGTTAACTAACTGATCAGTTTGCATTAATTATTACCTTTCGTAAAAAGAAAAAAATCTTCAAAACTAACGTTAAGGAAAACAATATGCAAATAATGGCTTAGGAAAAAGTTTAGGAAAGAGAGGGAGAGTTCCAAGGGAAAAGATAACCAATAATTGTCTATGAAAACATTTCGAATCATTAGTCAAAGAAAGGCAAGAAAACTAAACAAAAAAACAGAAAGCAATAACAAAGCAAGCTAAGAACCAATCAAGGCTATATTGTGTGGTGTGTGTGTCAGTATTGGTAGCTAAGGTCGTTGTTGATAGTTTGCCGGCATCAATATAAATATAGAATAAGAGGAATGGTATAGCAAACCATAAAAGAAAGTTGAAAGACCTTTCGTTATATCGGTTTTTTTTGCTTAGTTTATGCGGTCATTGGTCTTTTGACAAATATTGGCGCTATATTGTTTATTATACCCTATATTGTTATATGATTGTGGGGTATTAGAATGTGATTTTTGTTGGCTGTAATATTAATCAAATTGGCAAAATAGAAGATACAATTAAGTCAATGTTATTGACAGAATTTTATTAGACCATAAATCCGAATTAAGACCTAGTTGACTTTGAATAATGCTCTCTCATTCTCTTACTCTTATTACGCTTGTTTCTTAAGTCTTTTGTATTTGACCTCATATCTATGTTTTATTGCCATAATATGAATCTGATTTTGTTAGGATTAGCGGAGCTATAAGCGTAGACGTTTTAAATAATTAAAAAAAAAAAAAAATAAAAATAAAAAAATAAAAAAAATAAGCAAAACATTTACTTCTTTTTAAATATGTTTAAAGCAATAGCAGGACTATAAGAGTGGATTTGGGAAAAATATGTTTTAAGCCATAGCAGAGATCTTAGAGTGGATTTATAAAATATATTTGTAAACAGTGAGCGGAGCAGTATAGTCGGACGGATCGGACCATATGATACCCTACACAACTACCACGAAAAGCAAACTTTCGGCGGTTCTATATTCTGAGCCTGGGCAATATTTCGTGATATATGCACCCTTTTTACCGATTATAGATCAACAACTCCACTTTCTAAGTCTTGCATATTTTCCAAAATGTTTTTTTTTTTTAAATAAAATAAAAAATTGGTCACTTTAGGTTTTGGTTGATTTGACCCTCGGAAAATTGACCTATCATCATCTAAACAGCCGTTCTAAGTATTTGGTCAGAACCCCTTCACCTTGTAAAATATGTGATGTTCTGCATATAATAATTGCATCTAGATCGATTAGAAAATCTGACAAAATTAAAGTCTTCGGTTCATTGCGCCCCCTGAATGAAATCTCAACTTCACCGAAAACTATAGGCGTCTTCCTTGACCATAGTCGGGAATTCATGTACAAATTCGAAGCGATCAGCGCAAAATTTCCGTCCTCTAATGGAGTAATAGTAATATTATGCACATAGTCACATTTACCTAATTACATATAACCCCCACATCAGAGTACATACAGCCATATAATTGGTAGCAATTTGAAGGTCAACAACTCCTCACGATGTTCGGACCATAACTGCGGCGTCTGGAGCGACCAGAAAAAACCGGCAAAAATTTAGTATTTGGTCCATTTCATTTCTTAAATATTAACCGATCTTTACCCACAAACAATAGGGGTCTTCATTGGGCCGAATCCAACCTACGTGCAAAATTTCGTGAAGATTGGTCCATAACTGTGGCCTGTATCGTGTTTACAAATTATAATGGACAGACGGACGGATGGACTAACACACATGTCTAGATCGACTCAGCTAGTCGAGATATGACGATCGGTATACTTAAAGGTGGGTCTAGGACCAATATTTCGCGGCGTTACAAACTTTTGGAGTTTCACAAAGCTATAATACCCTGACAACATAGTTGTGTAGGGTATAAATATCAAACGGAGCAATAAGTGTGGATTTTATTTAAAATATTTGTAGAAAAATAGAGCTAACAAGTGAAAAAACGTTAATTTCGGAATTTTGGATACCCTCCATCATAGGTAACTTGCAATGAAAATATAGGGAACCTACCATAAAAGTGGGCATATATCGATAATTCTACAATGTTCACCAAATATAAAATTCTGTTATTTTTAATGGGCATTTTTCCTAAAATCTGAAAACCCCAAAACGTGGACTCATATTCATAACGCACGGTAGAGTATAAAATTCTCAAACGACTGTAATTTATATTACAAACTTATATGAGGCTATACCTAAAGGGGGACCAATATTGATAGAACAGTATAGTAATTAGCGAATATTTGGAGTTATCATTATTTGAGGGCTATGCCTAATTAGTGACAGATATATGTATGTCAATTAATAATAATTATATGGAGGAGATGCCTAAATGCTTGCCGATACATTTCATTAACCTGTGGTAACCTGTGGACGTCAATAAGCGAATATTTCGGGTTATCATTATTTGAGGGCTATGCCTAATTAGTGACCGATATATGTCAATTTCTCAACTCTTTCCTCCAAGAGGTATAATTATATGGAGGAGATGCCTAAATGCTGGCCGATACATTTCATTAGCCTGTGGTAACCTGTGGACGTCAATTTGGAGTGGTACACCACATCTTGTATACCTTCGGAGTCTTCCACGAAATTTCAAATACGGACAAGAGATGAAACATAATTGTAGATCATTACAATGTGACTCTCACACACTGGCAGAATCAATCGCATTTTTAACTGACCAAAACATGGATTTCAAGGTTCTTCTTTTCATTCCCGCACATCACCCATATTTCCCTACTAAAATCAGTTGCTATGCCGCCAAATTGTGATGTAGGAAATGACTCAATAATCTCTAAGATTGATAGCCCTTTTCGTTAATTATTTGTCTTAGATTTTTTTCCAACTTTTTTCTTAAGCCTTTTATAAAAATACCTTCTTTGATTTTTTCTTAATTATCTGTCAAAGTTAGGAAATTTTGTAGAAAAAAATCATAGAAAAAGTCTTTCGTTTTTGGAGAGTCATTAAATCTCCACCTTAAAGTGGTACAACAATACAAATGTTTTTGAACTTTAAGCCGATAAACCTTTCTTTTTGGCAAATACTCTGTATGTGTGTGTGCGATTGTGTGTCCATTAAAGAAAAGAAATACCAACAAATTGTAAGCTCTTTACCGCCAAAACCCCTATCCCATTTTGTTAGACAAAAATTCGGAGTTTATTGACTTTATTCGGCTGTTTCTTTCATTTCATTTCTTTTGCTTTGTTGTGTTGTTTTTTTATTTAGGTGAGAGTCACATAACCAAAAAGTGACTAGTTCACATTGTGATTTATATTGTTCACCTGGTAGGAAATTGTTGGCTCATTTTTTATTAGAGGATTTTCTTGCGGATTTTTTTGGTTTGGTTTATTAAAGCTTGAGTTTTGCTTTTGTTTGTTTGTTAATTTGTAAAACAAATGATTTATTTGTTAACAGCATTCCAATTAATTTTGTTTGTCTAGGCTTAAGACACTTTTTAATTGGATTATATTTCGCTTGGGGCCATAAAAGAGAGAAGAGGTTTCTTAGAATTTTTATAAATTATGGAAAGAATTTCTTTGTTATTTTTTTATAATTTAATTTAAATTTTGGCAAATACTTTTGATTTTTAATTTGTTTATTTTTGGAATACTAACGGAATTTTGATTCTATCACCACATAATAAAAAAAATAAATAAATAAATAAAATGTTTATTCATGAATATTTTTTTGGATAATGATCCTGTTTTAGATTTTATTTTGTAATATTGAATGCATACCCAATAGGCTTAAAGAACAAAATTTAGGTTTTAGAACTTAATTTTGATTTGAAAAAAATATATAATAAAATATATTTCCATTTTTAGAAAGGTGCAAAGTGATTTTGTTTCAGTACCTTAGAGTATCGGATTTTCAAATATATTAGATTAAATGTGCCTTTGATTCTAATTGGTTTTTTTTCTTACCCCTTTTTTTCTATATTTCTTCAAATATATTAGATTAAATGTGCTTTAAGTGATTCTAATTGGGTCTTAATTTTCTATTTTACCCATTTTTATAAAAAAAAATAAATAAATAAATAAATAATTTAAACTTTTGTATACACTTACCGTACTCGAAAGTATTAGTACTGTCCACGTGACTAGTGGCAAAAATATTTTCATTTTTGCTGTAAAGAGAAGAAAAAAGGACAAAATTATTAATAAATGGTTATGCGTAAATAATTAAAAACAGAAAATATTAATAAATGGTTATGCGTAAATAATTAAATATAGATAAAAATTGTCACACACACAATGTATATCCAACAGTCAACTCCTTTACCTTCTTATCTTAAAAATATTTACTTTATTTGACATCAGGGCAATGAACAAGTTAAATGTATTTATAAATTCCCTTTGTTTATCTTTTGACAATTTTTTTGCTGAAAACGTCCTTGGTATGGTGGTACCCTTTGCTACAACAAACAGCAGTCACAGCGAAAAATTCCCTCAAATCAGTTACAAACTTAATTGATAGCAGTGTCTAACTATGACTAATTAATTACACTTTTTCAATGTCAAACTGTCACTGTATTGGACGGAAACACACTTCCAGCACACATATGCTGCTGACCACTAGATATCTGCGAATGCAGAAGAAAAATCAGCAAAAACAACAACAACAGCAAAAAAGGCGAATAAAAGGGCGCCATAAAATAGGCGGCATTATTTCTCAAACAAAAAACAATCCCAACAACAGACTGACGACTGTCCAGTCGACTAGTCTATGAAAAAATAAAAAAAAAACAAAGAATGGACAAACGTCTGAATTTAAAGGCCATACAAACAAGCCTACTTACATACACATATGTATGCTGCATTGGCCAAACATCCAAAGGATTGACCATGTTAACTTTTGTTAGTCGCGGCAACAGAGAAAGATACGAAAAAAGTGCCAGCCACTTGGCAAGAATTGCGTAAATTGATATTCTATCCATTTTAAGCATAACAAGTGTGTATAAATCAAAAGGGCGGCCATGAAATGAAAAGCAGTCAAACAGATTCCTATGTGAATGGTATGGCATCGTATGGTATGCAGGATTGTTGTCTCTGCTTTGCAGGCTTCTTCTTCTTCTTCTTGACAAAATGAAGAATTTCCAGCTGTCAAATATTCTTTGTAAACTGCTTAGAAAAGAAAGCTTTGATTTATCAGCTACAACATTAAATGAGACACTAATATGTTGAGGACATTTTTTTAGCAGCAACGAAGAGGAAAAAGTACTCAAAAGGGAAATCATTATTCAAAGTGATGGGCGAATTTGTCTTTTTGGAGTTGCCGAATGGGGAAAATGTGAAAAAAAACAAAGGACTTAAGACAGGAGCGCAATTTTCTTTGTAAATATTTAATAATTAATGTGAACAAAAGGGCTAATTATTTTATGTGTCATAGGAACAGGTGATACAGCAGGGTAGTTAATTTTAGAGAAAACAAAAGACTTAAGGTACAAACTTGAAAAGAAAAAATGTTTGTAGAAAAAATTATTCTCACAAAACATTTCTGTAGCAAATAGTACTTATATTTCTGAGAGGAGCATTTTTTCAATAGGAAAAGAAAATATACTTCTGAGGAAAGAATTTTTCTATGGAAAAATGTTCTAGTCTGCTGAGGGAATATTTCTTTCTATAGAAACAATTGCATAGAAACAATTGAAGAGTTATAAGTCAAAGGCGAGAATTTTTCGGAAGGATTTTCAGATGCCTAGAAGTAATTTCTCAATATCGACGCCTCCGAACCATAGTATGCTAAGTCGACTTAGCCTATTTTAAAGTTTTTTACGTTTTTAGATACTACGGTCCTTAATTTAAATTCACTGAAATTTTGGTAATCATCGGCCAATCCAAACCAAAGTTATAAGCAAACATGTACATAGCATGGCACGTACGATTAAAGAAACTTCCATACTTTGAAAGCTTCTACTGAAAAACGCACTTTTCAGATTTAGCATACTATGGTTTGGAGGCGTCGATATGTTTTTTGATTATTAAAGCTAGAAACGTGAATTTGTCTACATATATTTTTTTGTGAGTTTATCAGAACCACTGACATTTTGAATTATTTTGTTAAAATTTCAAAGAGCTATAGGTCATTTCTCTGTATAGTTTTTAAAGAAATATTTGTGCCAGAGACGTGGATTTCTTACAATTATTTTTGTTTTTGTTTTTTAAGAAATATTGGATCGAAAGTCGTGATTTTTAAAGAATTTAATCAAGAACCTTAAATGACTTAAGCCACAATCTTACTTAGTGATTGAAGGAATATGAATTTCAAAAAAAAAAAAAAATGATATAGCTATTTAAGACAAAAGACTTAAGACACAAACATGTGCATATGATCATAAATATTGTGTCAAAGTAAAAACCTCTTTAGGAAAATTTTAAAAATATAATAAAACAGTTGAATTTATACAAAAGACTTAAGAAAGCTACTTGTGGTGAAATTACGATTTATTTTATTTTTTAATTATTATTAAAACTTTATGTTCATATTCTTATTATTTTTTTTTTCAAATTTAAAAATTAATTGCTTCATCATCCAAAACACTCCATACCTCATTGTTTGCCATCATCATATTCAATGCTCTTTAAATGGTGTTTTGTTTTGCCACTTTTCAACAAGTTGTATTTTTCAAAACAATTGCTATTTGTATTTGTTACAACAAAAAACCATGTACAATAAGAATTATTCTATTGCCTTAACTATAAGCAAATAAGAGGATTTCATGCTTAAAACAATTACTTGATGAATCTTCAAAAGGCCTCTCCAAAAAACATAAAAAACGAACGGTACAAACACGTGAATGAAACTCAGAACAACACCACATGAAATTGAATTTTTGGTTTGTGTTAGAATTCCAAGCACATACAACTACCATCATCATCCACGATGTTGTTGACTGACTGAATTTACAAACAACAACTCCAAAAGACATTTAACTTTATGTGAAACACTTTTGCGAGTCATTAGTGGCCGAGAGATACTTGAAGACACTTGCTATGGAACAAAAATGAAAGAAATTAAATAATATTTCTTTTTTTGAGAAATGAAGAAGAAGAAGGAAAACAACAACAATAACTGGAAAAGGTGAACAAACTTGGGTATAATTTTTTTTGAAAGAATAAAAAAAGAGAAAATTGTTTTTGTTTTGCTTTTTTGTCAAATGGTGGGTAATTGAACTTGTCCACGAAAGGCTGAGCTACATGACAAGTGGTATTTTTTTCTGTAGAATTAAAAAAGAATTATTATGTAAGAAGTAAAAGGTATTCTAATCTGTCAATGTGTGCAGAGAAAGTGTAAAAATAGAAAACACTCGATGACATAAGGAATTCATGATCTATGACAATAATTTTTGTCACCATGTGGGATAAAAGAAAAATGTTTGTGTCTTAAGTCTTTTATTGAAAGTCGTCAGAGCTTATGGATTTTTTTTCTAAAAATGTGTATTTTTCAGGTCCAGAATTTGTTACCCGCATAAGGAATTCATGATCTATGACAATAATTTTTGTCACCATGTGAGATAAAAAAATGTTTTTGTCTTAAGTCTTTTATTGAAAGTCATCAGAGGGTATGGATGTTTTCTAAAAGTGTGTATTTTTTCAGGTCTAGAATCTGTTATCAGTATATCCACAAGGCGCGTGTAATTGTTCTTTAAGTCGGGGACTTTTATAACAAATAATTCTTCTGAACGCAGAAAAAATCCTTTTCTGTTCACATTTTTGAAAAATAAAAATATTCTTTCAATTTGATCGGCGTTTATTTATTCAGAAAATCAGAAAAACATCTGACTTCAAAACTCACTGCAATTTTTTTTTGAATTCGCTTTTTGTCGCATTTTTAGATAGCCTTTAAATAAAAAAAATATCCTGCGCACATGCTGAACCTCATGACAGTCTGTGTATATTTTTAACCAAAAGACAACAACAATTCAATGCAATAAATAAACAAAAATCTACTAAGGCATGTGTCATTTTCAATCTATTTATGAGCATTTGATTTTTTGGTCAAAACCACTAATACCACCACCAGCACGACCATCTGTAAAACGAGCACATGCGACTAAAAATCTTATTGCGTTCAGGGTCTGTATCTGCGTGCCTATCAATGCGTCTAATGCTGGGTATTGGTATGTTGCATGCCACTAGGCCTAATAGAAAAACCAAGAAGAAGAAAAAAATAACAACAACGCAAAACATGCAACATGGAAACATGAATGTGTTGTTCCCCCTCTTTCAGACTACAACTTCAAATCTTAGAGAGTGCTTCGAGACAGCTCATACTTTTGCAAAAAAAAAATCAACTATTTTTGTTTGTGGACACATATTTAAGCAGGAATAAAAAATATGAGAAAAAAATAAATAACAGCAAGAAGAAGAAGCAGCAGCAGCTACAGCTTATTGCAAGTCAGTCATACAGCCAGTAAGTCAGTCAGTACACTATACATGAGTAAAATAAGACCAACAACATGTTACAAACGAACAAAAAAAAATTGTCTACAACATTGAACAACAGTAAGAATTTTTTTTTTAAATGGCCAACCAATTTATCGTCTAGAATATTTTAAGGGTATAGCAAAGCTATAAACATGAATTCATTAGGTAATAATTATTTGAAGACCCTTAAAGTTCAGCTCACGGGACTGGAGCTGAATTTTTAGGATTAGCAGACTAGCAGAGCAAAAAGCTAGGACTTTTAAAAAACATTCGCTGAAAGGACTTCCCGAGCAAAAAATGTGTTTTTATGGAATTTTTAAAAAGTACGTGCAGACCTGTATACGTGCATTCTAAAGGCCTAGGGAAATCTAGAAGATTTAATTTTTATACCCTACACAACTATGTTGTCAGGGTATTATAGCTTCGTGCAGCCCCAAAAGTTTGTAACACCGCGAAATTTTGGTCCTAGACCCACCTTTAAGTATACCGATCGTCATATCTCGACTAGCTGAGTCGATCTAGACATGTGTGTCCGTCCGTCCGTCTGTCCGTCTGTCCATTATAATTTGTAAACACGATACAGGCCACAGTTATGGACCAATGTTCACGAAATTTTGCATGTAGGATGGGTCTTGGCCAATGAAGACCCCTATTGTTTTTTGGAAAGATCGGTTAATATTTAGGGGATGAAATGGACCAA